TTTCATGTACTTTATCAAGGTAGTTTCAAAACAAAATTAAGTTTTATGCACTTCAAAAAATAAATTGATGTTATGGAGTTACTTCATACTAGAAACACAATGAAAGGACAATTTTAACCATTGGGAAGAAAACAGCAGAGATAGATAGTCTTTAATATGTCCAGGGATGACTACTTTAAGTTTCATATTATATGGCTGATACACATATACTCCTCCTAGGAATAAACCAACATATTGACAGATATGCATGATGGAATCTCCAAAAAAGTAATATTGATTTAGTTCTCTGTGCTTTGATTTTTGATGGAAAGGATAACATCAAGAATGGTCTCTGTTAGCTTTTGGGGGGTGGAGTATAGAATTAGGGAAATGCAGCATCTCCTGTAACGACGAACTGTAGAAAGGTCATTCTTTTATAATATCCCAGATTACTGTAGATGTGTTAGAACAGAAGCCGTATTCTGTACCCTTGACAGAATTTTCCTGTGGAACCAAGCACAGAGCTCAGTTGTAGGAAGATAAATATGAGAGGATATATAGAGGAGACCCCTCTGAACTAAGAGTACAAGGTTCATTATGTTATGTACTTCATCTCACATTCCAGATAGGAGAATTTCTGAGCTCATGAATGGAAACTTTACTACTAATGTAATATTAAATTCCAACTATTGGCACAGTGAGAGTTCATCCTTCATATCTGAATTCTTCTAGAAATTGATATTAGATTTTTGGAAGAATAGTAATATTTTAAAAGAAAATGTATTATTATATTGGTTTTACACTTTTAGATTTTTTTTATTTAAATATAAATACAAATTAATATTTCATGTTTGCCAATGTTTAGAATGTGAACTCTCATCAATGTTGATATAGCACTTTTTGCTTTTCTTTTCTTTCTTTCTTTTTTTTTTTTTTTGTCTTTTGTCTTTTTCCGTGTCCGGCAACTGATCGCAACCCTCAGTGTTGCCCCCGTACCGGACCGGGGACCGGCAACGGGATTGCAACCCTGGGTGTTGCTCCCGTGCCTCACTCAGCCAGTGAGCGGGAACCGGTCTGTATGTGGGATCCGAACCCTCGGGCGGGAGCACCGCCGCACCTCCCAAGCGGCGCACTTATCCAGTGCGCCACCGGGCCGGCCCTTGCTTTTCTTTTTAAAACTGTGGCTGTTTTAAATAATCAGACATTTTGACTCATTGGGTAATTATTATCTGATTTTATTATGGATTAAAATCTAAAACATTGCTGGCTTTAAAGTCAAGAAGCATTTATAAGGTACCTTATTTGCTTTGCAATATATTACAACCTCAGAAAAGGTAAAGGGAACAGAATAGTGAGGAAGAAGCAGAGTAGGATTAATGAGTGTTACATATAGTCTCATGGAAAAAGATTTGAAGCTGCAATAGAGTTTTATACATAAAGGAAATCCCAAAGCCATAGAATCAAATGTTTCTGTTTCTCAACTAACAAATCATGTCCTTTGAGGTTAAGTGACGTGACCACAATGGTCTATTCAATATGTAGTTACAGAAGGTTCTAAGAAAAGTGGGATTTGTGAGTGAGATTAAGGAATGGGTCATTCGAGTGTATGCTGAGAGTCAACTAACATGAATTTCTGTGTGTCAAGCTTTATGCTATGTTCTTTCACATTTACTATCTCTTTTACATTATCACAACAACCTTGTATGTTAAATTTTAACTGAGGTCCAAGGAAGTGAAGCAGCTTTTCCAACTACTAATGTCATTATACCACAAATACAAACCCATGTCGCTGACCATAAATATTGCCTTCTATAGCACACTGATTTGGTAGGTAGAAGCATTCCAAATTTTGAGTTTGTCTGAAGTAAGAAATGGGACTAATATATCGTGGAAGAAGTATATGACACCTCGCTTAGCAAGAACAAAACTTCTATGCTGGGAGCAGTGAAATATATAGAGACTATCACATTTATAAAAAGTTATAAATTTTCAATTAACACATAAAATCAAGAGCAAATTTGTTTCATACAACAGGGGAGAGTATTATAATATTAAAGCAAAAAGGAAGGAAGGAAGGAAGGAAGGAAGGAAGGAAGGAAGGAAGGAAGGAAGGAAGGAATATCAGTAATAAAATTTAGCCTAGCTGATAAAAAATATCCAGTATATGTCTATTACATGACAGTCATATATATTAATATCCAAATCAGGCATAGAAGCAAAAACAGCACATTGTAACAGTGATTATCTCTATGTGTTCAGATTATAGATATTTCTGACTCATACATTTCTTTTTTCTTCAAATTTTCTATAGGGAGCCTGCACTGATTTTATAATTCAACCTATCTGTTATATGTCACTGTCACTTATTAAGGTCTATTTTCATATGTTTTTTTAGAAATCAATAGGATAAATGGACTTTATTTTGTGTTGTTTCTTATTTTTCTTTGAAATTATTCAAACTGTTGCCAGCCAAACATCAAAATACTTAATTTCTTCTTTTGTTAGCATTTCTAAAGCTAAATTAACTAATCTGGTATTTTAACTACATTGATTAATTTACCCGGAACAATACCACAAGTTTTTAAAACCTCTCTACCAATTATTTTCAAATGGGATGCTTTGTGATCAGAGTTTCATTTTCAAAACACCTCACTGACCACTTCACTGATTTTCTGTTGTGGTATCACATAAGATGTCCTGGATCAAAAAAGGTTGTGATTGCACATCCCTGACACTATTTTGAAGCAATTGTAACAATAATTTTGCCTTCAGCATTTCTTTCTAACATTGAGGCTATTTACTTGTATTGCATGTAGAAGTTGCCTTGGTATTTATCTATGACCAACCATAGTTAAATAGACTTCCAGGAAATCACTCCAAAATTAGGAAATGGAAACCATTTATTCATAATAAGATCTTGGAGTCCCACACAAATAATATAGCCCTATTAATATTTGCTGCTCATTATTTTTTCTCTCATTAGAAATAATTCAGCATAACCTTCATACTGTCAAATTATTCCTAATCATTGACATTCCCTTACTTTTTGACTATGTTTAAATTTGCTTAACTTACTTAAAAAATTTACAAATAAGTGCATTTTTTAACTAACCAATTTCATCACCTGACATTTCTAACTACACACAGATCACACTCACAAAACTTTCCTGTAATAATCATTTCATGTTAAGAACACCTGCTTTCTTAGAGTCCAGAGAGCTTCATTCCACATCACAGTCTCTTCAAACTGGAGTTTAATTATGCTTCTTGCACAGAATCATTGTAATGTTTTCATGATGTTAAATTTGCTATGGGCTATGCATGGTTTTTGCTCATTCAGCTACCTTAGATGTTTCCCTCTGAAAATGTATTATAAATCTTTACTGAGAACCAGCAATTGTAATAACAATATATTTGTAATGCATTTCATGTAGCTCAAAATATTCAGCCCCTGGCCTTCAACAAATGAGATAAAATTAAAAATGTGTAAAGCCAATAAAATTGGGGTATGGGGAGAAAAGATGTATGAAATAGAGAATGATAATGGCTAATTATACTTGCTTTGTTTTCAATGTTTCTAGTGAGGTTTAAAAGTACAATATTTCTTTAAGCAAATAAAGTAAAATATCATTTTCAGGTTTTTTTGTTTGTTTGTTTGTTTGTTTTAATATTCAATACTCTCGATGTATTTTCTCTCCCCTGGAAAGCATCATAAAAGCTTTGCAAAAGAGAGAGAGAGAGAGAGAGAGAGAGAAGAATATTTTTAAAAATCTAAGTGTAGGGCCGGCCCCGTGGCGCACTCGGGAGAGTGCGGTGCTGGGAGTGCAGCATTGCTCGCTCCATGGTTCGGATCCCATATGGGAATGGCAAGTGCACTCACTGGCTGAGCGCAGTGCGGGCGACACCAAGCCAAGGGTTATGATCCCCTTACTGGTCACGAAGAAGACAAAAAAAAAAAAAAAAAATCTAAGTGTAGTAAATACAGCAATGACCAGAATCTAACCTAATCTTTCCCTTACATTTGGATGGCAAAGTATATATTTCTCCAAATAGTAGACAATAGTTAAAATAATAATTAAAAAAACAATTTATTAAGTTTATTATATTTATAATTAGACAACTTTGAAAGTAAGAGAAAATTCACACTCTTCCTCTTTTCACTATTTTCACATAAGAGCATTGTTTTTAAGGAAATGAATATGCCAGGAAGCATTGGAAACCCCCTTCTCTGCAGAGGTGATGATTAATTTGTGATTTTGCATGTTTTTCAAGCCAACAACGTTTGGTGACAATGATGGATCTGAACATTTTGAAGTATTTTATTGCCTTTGCCAATGTATGCTACAAAATACTTCTTAGCATTGAAATACATTTTACCCATTTAACAAAATGTTAAACTGTGTAAGTGGTGAAATATTATCAATTATTCTACAGCTATATTTTGTTTGCTTGTTTGTTGTTATTGTTGTTCTTATGTAGGTTGAGGCAATACTTTTAATTTGCTTTAGTAAAATGCGACTTGAACAATTTGAGTTGAATGAGTCGGTTGGTATAATGCAGGTAAAGCATTTATTTGTTTGAATTTTTTATTGAAAATACAGACATTTTGAAAATCTATAGGCATAACTTCAAATTCTTTTTTTCTAGGAGAATTACCTTATCTCTACACAATTACTATGCCTTTTACAGTCACATTTAACCCTTTCAAAGAAGATTCTACTTTGTATATTAAATAAATGTTTCCTACTGATTTATTTTGAATGTGAGATTCAGAATAACATTTGTCTACAGTCCAGTTTCCATGCCTTTTCATATGACCTCAAAAATAAGCAAGAAAGTAAAGTCTAAAGAAAAATAAAATAAAAGCATCAAATTTTCTAAATGCTTAAAAATATTATTTCTTCAGTAATCCTTTAAAGTATTATTCATAACAATACCTTTTAAATTTTCCACATAGTATACTTGCTATAGGGTATGTTGCATGTTTCTCTAAATTCTTCTCTCTCTTTTTTTATTTCCAGTTACTGGCTGACAAATAAAGTTCCCATCAAAAGACCCAGCACAGGTCTCCTCATGTACACCCTCGCCACAAGATTCTGTGATGAAATTCACCTGTATGGATTCTGGCCATTCCCCAAGGATTTGAATGGAAAAGCCGTTAAATATCATTACTATGACGACTTAAAATATAGGTACTTTTCTAATGCAGGTCCTCACAGAATGCCATTAGAATTCAAAACATTAAATGTGCTACATAATAGAGGAGCTCTAAAACTGACAACAGGAAAGTGTGTAAAGCAATAAAGCACATTTTAAAACATACAAGCAAACTGAATATGCACTTCTTTTCTGAAGATGCTTCCGAAGATTTGAAAATAGGATCCAGAACAAGGCTGGGTTTCAGCATCCACCAATTAACTGAAAGATTGATAAAGGACATTTATGAAAAATCCACTACCAGCTGATGAAATACCTGCAAAGTGCTCTAAAAATTAAATATTTTGACTCCAAGGGTCCTAGTAAGTGCCACTTCCACTAAGAATACAGTTGAATGTATAATCAGTAGTGTTTACAAGATTCAACAATGCACTCATCATTAGTTAATGAAGCAAATATGTTCATCACTGTCAGGCTGCCACTGCAATGCCAAGCACATAAGAAGGGGAACCCAGGAACACAACTCAGCCCTTGGGAAATTAAATCATCCTTGTCAACAGAAATCAAGATGGAAACAGTCTGAGCAGTGAAATCCATAAGATTAAACAGCTCAAGTAAATGCCTTCAGTCAGGACTCAGTCTGATCATAAAATTTATGTTTCTGTTTGTTTTTGTTTGTCTTCTGGAATCTCTTTTGGTTTGGGTATTGGGGTGCTTAGAAATCTTTTCTGAGATACATATGAATGAGAAAAATAAACTTCAAATAATCATTTCTAAAGTTCTTATATTTTTAAAGAGCAATCACAAAAAGACTTTTTTTAAAAAAAATTTTATTTTGCATAACTCTAAACCTCCAGATTAACTTCCAATGGTGTAGAAGGTACCAACTAAACCGTACCACTCAGTAATATTGAGCCATTCTAAAAAAAAAGATGTTCTGTGTCGTCTGAGATTGTAAAATTAGCAGAAAAAAAATGTGCTTGGGGTACCAAAGATTATGCTCATGTTTCTACACACACGAAAAAACATTCTTTCATGAAAATAATATATTGACATGAATATATTATTAGGCTATTAATGTGAAAGTTGTCTCTAAATATTTTTAAATTTCCAAACTCAAATTCCATTTTTATTTGAAGAAAGACTTCCACACCTTTCACATTTCACAATAATTTTGTGGAAGCATTTTGCCCTTAAGAAGAAATGTTTAATCGATATAACTGAAATGTGATTTCCAGTTCTTTGATTTTCCCCTTGTTATTTAAATAGACTGATTGTCATCCTCTTTGTATTATTGTTAAATTTCTTAGTGCAAAAATAGCATGATTAATAGTGTTGTTTCCATAATAGACATGATTAATTTTAAGAGGTTTAACAATGAAGCTGTGTGCCAGTATTTTGCACTTAAAATGAATTCAATTGATCAATATTGTTCTGTAGTTAAATTTAGTCACATTATCACACGAATGTGTTTTTAAAGAAACACATGAAATTATTAATAAAGTGATTTAAAAATTTTAATATATAGTAGAATTGACAGTTTTGTGGTAACTTATATTATTCCGATAGATAATTCTGGTGGTAAATTGTTTCTTAAGAAAGCAGAAGCACTGAGTTCTCACTTCTACTTTTGCCTGAAACAACTAATGACTTCTTGTTTTTTTGGAAAGACAATCTGATGAAAGAAGAAATAGCATGGGGAATATGTATGGTTTGTTTCTTAGGGAAGGCAGTCTGAGAAATTAATAAAAAGAATGGAGAATATATATATGTTATCATGGCAAAGGATATTCACAGTAGTACAGTTCTGAATATTTTTAATAATATGATATTATTTTTTTAAATGTGGTAGAAACTTGGGATACAGAAACCATATTTCCTGAGAATCCATGTGTCTCTAAGAAAGCAAAATAGAATACATATAAGAGATTCATAGCAAAAACTGAATAGAACATTAATGTACTTTTATTACTAAACCTCTTATCTACTGGAAATTTTAAAAGAATTAGATACATGTTTTGAATGTAAAGTTGAAAAGTCTGATTTACTTAACAAATCAAAAATAGGTGATTCGTAGAATTTTAATTTGGACTATTTGCAGATGATAAGCTGTTCCAGTAGCCTTTAATTTGAATTCAGTAGAAATTCAGAATTCATAAGTAAGTTTCTTGTAGGTAAAATCCATCCTGCACTCATTCAAGTATGTCTTAAAAGGCAATCCAAGTTACCTTGCCATTTTTACTGCATTTTCAACAAAGGTATTTATACAGTTTTAGGGTCACAGCTAACACATCTCAGCCACTCACTGTTGTGTGCATTCACTGTTTGTCTCATGGATACATGGAGTAGTGCCTTTTTAGCTTCTTCACATACCTTTGTTACCCTGTGCTTTGTGTTCTCTAAATACGTTGCCCAGTTCTGAAAAGTTCAGTGTAAAAAAAGGGCTTCAGTATGGACTGAGACTACTTTTGTTCATCTCAGGGAACTTTCAATACTCAAGAATGAATTCAATTAAAGGTATTTAGTGTTCAAAGAAGACAAACGGTACAAGACCATTTCATTCCCTATTGTATACCTGTCCATCTGCCCTTCCCCTTCACTCTCTACTGTGGCCTTCTTATAGGGGTAGAAGGAGGTCATTGAAGGCTAACACCAAAAATAAGAACAAGAGTTGAGATTTAACAAATAAGGGGTCATACAGGATCATAAGAAAATAACATTAAATACATACTTGAAATATCTGGGGGTTTTTCTTTTGAAATATCATATATTTAGAGTTTTAATTTTTTATTTCTTTTTCATGATTTAACCCTGTACCTGGCAATGCTCAGGCAGCTGATTGTGAAATATTCCTGTCCTCTAGAGAACACGGTTGTTACTGTGCTATTGACACGAATAGGTCATGGAAACATTTTCATCATCATTAACCAGCCTGTTCTATAATTAATATTAAGTTGCTAAAATAAAAAGTGAATCAGTAACAGATTTTCTGGGCAAATCTAATGATTCAGCCCATAGGACTGATGAAACTACTGTGGAAGTTTTTCTTTCTGAAAGAAGGTGCTGGGCATTCAAATGTCTTCGTGTATTGTATATCATATGAATTGTATATCAATTGCTAATGGAAATTTCTACATATATGCTTACAGAAGTGATTTATTTAAATAATGCTAGGGGTAGTGTACATACCAACTAGTTATTAAGCTACTACACAGGAAAAGGGTGAACAAAATAAGTTATTTCTAATTGAGCCAGTTAGTCATAATGCACATAATGTGGTATTTGGTTCATAAGAGTTGTTTTCATGTGGTTACTGTAGGGAGTATCTATAATTGTGGAAGGGGTGTGGGAAGAGTTATGTATAGTTAGTTGTTATCTCCACTAGTTTGAAAGTTTCCCCATCAGACATTATCAATATACCAATGTTTTAAAAATTGAGTTATGGTTACTGTTTGTATTCGGTTAAAGAAAGTCCAAATAAAGCCAACCTAGAAATAGATATTTTATTATACATGTGCTATAGATATATCTATATAGTACAAATAGACGTGTGATGCATATATACAATGTTATATATGTGTATCTGTGTATACACACTGAGTCTGTAATATGTACACACTAGATTTATGTTATTCTAATATCTTCAGGGTCTGCACTATGAATACCTTGGAGATAAATAAGACCACTTTAGAAAAAAGAAGTTCTTTTGAGACTTCAGTTACTGCTTTAAGAGGGATCTACTGTATAAATGAATTCTGTATTGCTCATACCTAGAACTACAATAAAGATCTAGTATGTCCAAATCTTAAACAGAAAAAAATAAAAAAAAGCCTTCAGGCTGGGAATGGATTTGAATTGCAGTTTTCAGGTTGTGGCTCCAGGCCTGTGTTTCTCATTTAAGTAGCACCTTTTAATAAGTACCATTTCTTTGTGTAGGCAAAAGCACAAGTGTATCAAATGTATATAGCAGGAAGAAAAAAGAGTTTACAGAGATAGCATTGTTGCACAGGATAATTGCTATTGAGTACTTCTTACATCATTTGTGGAATTGAAAGATGAGGTATATTCTGTCAGGCTCATTCTGTTCAACACTGTTTCCCTATTGTTCGTGTATAGCAATTGGGTATTATTGTTTTATCATTTGTAAAATTGTAAAATAAATTAAATCTTTTTTTCCAGTTTTTCTCTTATCTCTTATATCTAAGGCTTTGGTTCCACTTTATATGTCAATATTAAGTGATCATTTTTAGTAAGGTTTTGTGAGTGCTTTTGTCATCCTCCTCCTTCATCCCCACTCATCGACAATTAGGCAAACCATTATTTTAAAGTGTATACATGGGAATGTGAAAAATATCCAGAGCCCCATGAACACCAGGAAATCCTTAACAATTTATTTCGTATGGAACATTCTGTTTGTGGTTAAGGGAACAGCGTTACATAAGTGACAGTCATTTTTATCCAATTTGTACTCCCACTGATTAATGTTAGTGGGTCATTTCAGCTTCCTCACTGAAGAGACCAATGGCTCCTTATACACTACACATTCTATGGCTGCCCTGTGACTTATGACTTTAACTGCTATTTAATCCACTTGCTACTTGCAAGTCTATGTTTTTAGACTCTGCACTGTTTTCTGCAGAAATGTTTAACTGTAATTTTATAAGATCTCTTTTAGCATTCTGCAATTTTGAAACATTTGCTCAAGACCAACAATAAACCATTCACAATGGTTTTAAATATAGATGTTATTTATATTTTACCTTTTATTTCAAAGATCCATATACAATGGGTCATTCCTATCTATTCTTGGGACATAATCAGATATCATGCAGAACTCTACTTTTTGGTGGTATGGGAGAGCTTTCAGGATTTTGGTATGAGTTTTGATGACTTTGAGTAAGTTTTCTAAAAGGAAATGTTAAAAAAAAATAACTCATTTCTACTGTTAAATACTGTTTTAAAATGCTTATTCTTTTAAAATAGATTTGTGTGTTCTTGCCTGAAATTGTGGGAAGATTTGCTATAATCATTCTCTTTTACCTTATTTTCTTAGATTACAACCCAGTTCTTTCCAAAGTGTGTTCTGAGAAATATTGTTGAGCAACATACTTTGCAAAGGAATGTATGGCATGTTCCCTCCTAATTCCACAGTGCTCTCAAGGGTTAAAAAGGCTGTATACTGTATTACAAACCCTGAGAAGTCTAGAAATAAAGAAAACAATTATAATTTGCCTACCCAAGAATGCCCAAATGTATTGGATTGTGGCACATTTGATACATATTTTAATAAATGTCATAACTTAATAGTACTTCAAAAAGTTCATGGAAAGATTCATATTATCTTTTCCCAGACTTAAAAATTAGACATATCCATTTTTTTTTTTTTTTTTTTTTTTTTTTTTTTTTTTTTTTCCGGGTCCGGCAATGGATTGCAACCCCCAGTGTTGCCCCCC